TTTGCTTGGATTAAAAATATGTCGGCCTTATTATCTTCGCAACTATCGAAGTGGGGTCATAAGAAATTTTTTTGCAATGTATGCTTAAACCATTTCTCCTCCAGCGCCCTTCTTGCGAAACACTCTACCTACTGTCAGCAAATAAACGAGTGCGCTGCTAGGGTACCAAACGAAACAGAGAAATATTTAGAATTTGCGCATTACGCGTACAAGGAGAAGGTCCCGTTCGCTATTTACGCTGACCTTGAAAGCATTCTAGTTAAATGCGATGGCGATCTTGGCAACTACGATGATTGTACGAAATTATTCCAGAAACACATACCCTTTAGTATCGCGTTCTATCTGAAATGTTCATACGATGAGTCTCTTTCAACATTTTCATTGTACCGGGGCGCAGACTGCATTCAATGGTTTATTAAACAATTAGGGGACATTGCAGTTTGGACGAATACAATTTTTAACAACCCAGTTCCCATGGAGACGATGAGTGATGAACAGCGCAAAGATTTCGAGAATGCCACGCACTGTCACATTTGTGAAAAACCTTTCGTGGATGGGGACATTCGCTGTAGGGACCATAATCATAAGGGCAGAGGTCTGTATAGGGGCGCTTCACACTCTCGGTGCAACATAAACTACCAAGATAGCACCGTAATTCCCGTCGTATTTCATAATCTAAGCGGTTACGATGCGCATTTTTTTATTCGAGAACTATCCACTGGTTTACCGGGCCACATAACATTGCTCCCATTAAACAAAGAAAAGTACATCTCTTTTACAAAATACGTGGACAATACAAAAATTTCTTTTCGATTTATCGACTCGTTCCGATTTATGAGTAGTAGTATTGATAAATTATCAGCGTACTTGGGTGACGAACAGAAAACTATCACTAAATCCTATAGTCGTAACGACACCGAGTTCAATCTGCTAACGAGAAAAGGTGTTTTCCCCTACGAATATTTGGATTGTTGGGAAAAGCTAGATGAGACCGCTTTACCGCCAAAGGATGCATTTTTTAGTCATTTACATAACGAGGACATTACTGACGAAGAGTACGAGCACGCTTCAAACGTGTGGCGCGTATTTTCCATTCAAACCTTAGGTCAATACTCCGATCCTTACTTAAAAACGGACGTGCTTCTTTTGGCCGATATTTTCGAAACTTTCCGAATCACTTGCATGCAAACGTATCAGCTGGATCCTTTGCACTATTACACGGCTCCAGGGCTCGCATTTGACGCCATGTTAAAAATTACGGGTGTTAAACTGGAACTTTTAACCGATATCGATCAAATTCTTTTCATCGAGAGTGGAACTCGAGGCGGTGTAACTCAGTGTAGTACTCGATATGCTAAAGCGAACAATAAATATATGTTAAGCGGATACGATCCCAACCTCCCTACGAACTACTTAATGTACTTGGACGTAAACTCGCTTTATGGGCGCACAATGTGTGAGCCGCTTCCATGCGGAGAATTTTCGTTTGTAGAAAACTTTGAAACGCTAGACATATTAAATCATCCAGACGATTCGGACATTGGCTACATTCTAGAATGCGATTTTGACTATCCCAATCATATTCATAAGACCCACAGTCAGCTGCCATTGGCTCCCGAACATAGAATTCCCCCAGGCTCGAAATTAAAGAAACTATTGCTGACATTATACGCGAAACGTAACTACGTCGTCCATTATCGGAATTTAAAGTTGTACGTCCGACACGGATTAAAATTAGTGAAAATACATCACGTCTTACGTTTCAAGCAATCGCCGTGGCTACGTACGTACGTTGATTTAAATGCGACCATGAGAAAGCAAGCAAAAAACGAATTCGAAATACACTTTTTCAAATTGATGGGTCAACAGTGTGTTTGGGAAATTAATGGGGAACGTAAGGAAATATAAAGATGTACGTCTCGTATCTCGCTACGAGGGAAGATATGGAGCAATGGCGTGCATTGCAAAACCAAATTTTCATAGTTGCACCTTATTTGATAACGATATGGTCATTATTGAAATGAATCGATTAGAGGTGTTCCTCAACAAACCGATATATGTGGGTTTTGCGGTTCTAGACATTTCCAAAACGTTCCTTTACAATTTCCATTACGATTACGTACTGCCTAAATTCCAAAATAACGCTAAACTCTTATACACCGATACCGACAGTCTGATTTACTCGTTCACCAACGTACCCGACATATACGAGTCGATGATAAAGGAGGATATACATCTATTCGATACGTCCAGTTATGAGCGCGATAACGTTTTTGGAATACCGCTAGTGAATAAAAAGGTTCCCGGTCTAATGAAGGACGAAAGCAATGGCAAAATTATGCTGGAATTTGTTGGTCTTCGCGCTAAAATGTACGCTTATCGCGTAGATACAAAAGATGTAGTTAAAAAATCTAAGGGATCAACTGCAGCGAGTATTAAGACAATCACCATAGATGATTACAAGAACTCACTGTTTAATGCCGACATTATAAAGAGTCATCAGCACCTCATCAGATCGAAAAAGCATTCTGTATTTACAATCAAACAGAATAAAGTGGTCCTTAGTCCGCACGACGATAAGCGGATTATTCAACCAGACTGCATTAACACTCTTCCTTGGGGCTACGAGCAGGTAGTGTATCGGGAGTGAGAAGCTGAAAAATTAATTTTTTATAATTGTAGCTGTAAGCTGAACCAGTGCAACGATCCAGGAGCTTTCATTGTAAATATCTATTTATCAAATGTATATTTATGGAAAATAAAATAGCACCTGCATATATAGAGTTTTATTTAAGCATCAACACTAGATGCAGTAGATAGGTTATGAGAATTCCTTAAACGTAACAATAAAAAAAAAACACTCTAAAATATTTGTTTTTATTTATAAAAAAAAATTACAATATTAAACTATATCATTTTTATCGATCCAAGATTTTTCTTCTAAGCCCCACCACTTCACATAAACTTTATCCTTCTTCCGGCGGAGTATTTTTTCAACCAAATATACATCTGAATATTTGGCCTTTTGCAACTCTTGCTCATAAAATCCACCCAAAATCGGTTTTCCATTCATGTCTTCCAATAAGTACGTCACCGGATTGGTTATTCGTACTTTTACAATTTTGAATAGTTCGCTAGACCAGTTGGGTGTGTAGCCCTTCGCAAATATACATTTAAATTTGCTAATTCGAACAACATCGCCAACATTAAAACGATATCTCTTGTTGAAGAGCTTGATGTGGCGGTAGGCGTCCAGCTTTGTATCGGCCTTCACTTCGATCGGTTTCATCCCCGTTGTTCGATGTTTACGATTATTGTACTCGCTCGTGATCGATTCGATTGCATCTATCCATACATATTTTCCACGTAAACTAAACTGCCGGTACAAGGGGTTTTTTATACTTCTTATAACCCTCTCGGCCAGTGCAGCCTTTTTCGTACTGTACGTGGAATAGTGATTAATGCGTTCTTGCATCATCAATTTGGCGAATGATTTGTTATAGAATTCCTTCCCGGCATCGGTCTGTAGATTTTTCGGTCTGCGTCTCGTAGATTTGAAAATAGCCTGTACGGCTTTTGTCACCTCCTCACCCGTTTTAGTCTTCAACCCTCGCGTCCATAGATATTTTGAAAAACAATCGATAACTACCAATATGTATTTGTAGCCTTTATTCTCTTTTGCGTAAGGTATAAATTCGGCTAGATCTGCTTGCCAAAGATCATCGAAGCCTTTAATGATGGTACGTCTACGGGGGAAGTTTTTGCGCGCCGCTTTGTGTAACTCGTTCACCACCTGCTGCATCCTCTATTAGTTTATGTAGAGTTGCTTTGACCGCCTTCAACTCTTCCTCTAGTGCCTCCACGTAATTACGAAGACCGTCTACAGGTACTTTCGCAATCTGCATGTAATACATGAAGTACCCTCTATTTATGGCATCGCCATCGTCTACTGGATCGGCCACATTCATCAAACGATTTCCATTGAGATCCAGTCTTGTTGATAGGTAATGTTGTAAGGTTAGAGCATCATGACGTTCAATAGGATCCTCAACATTACTTAGTCTCTTACGTTCCACATTTATAGTATCGTCGGTAATGGAAAATTTTGTCTTTAGCAATTTTCCAAATTGAGCATGGGTATGAGAACGTCCGAATTTATCCATGATGAATGTAGGCGGGGAAGACGGAAATGGGGTATTTATACTAGTTGACGTAAAAATCGCTGCGTGGGCTTTTGTATGTAACCCTCCTCGTACAGCTCTTCCACGATTGATATTATATCATTTTTTACTCCTGTGTTGCCTGCCATTTTTTCACCCCATAAAACCTCTAGGTCTCTAATCAATTCATGCACGCTATTCCAGTATTTGAATTCGATCGGCCGGTCGAGTTCCTTGAATAGAGTAATACCGCTTCCCGATTTCGCACGCCCCCTATTCGCCGCTTCCTCCTCCTTTAGTAGAGGCTTTATTATAAGCGTATACTTTTTGCTCTTATTGCCACGAATCTGTTCTGTGGGGTCGTAATTGCGCCGTGCGACATGAGTTGCTATTATTATCTGCTTATAGTTACTTCTATCCTGCTTGGATACTAGCGATTCATCCGGTTCATTCATGATGATAAGTTCGTATAGCCCCGCAGTACCTTTGTACCGGTTCCCGTTAATGACCAAATCTTCGTCATCTATCGTCACCTCAGTCTTGCCCATTCTCCACTTATCCGTTTCGACATTATAATGAATTCCAAAGGTGGTGTCAATTGCATTACTCGTATCTCTTATCATGCGCTCAACGTATATACGTGGTAGGTGTTTGTATTGTTCCAAAAAGGCTTGCGAACCTTGCATATCAAGTAATGAAGCAGATGATTCTGATGCGATAGAGGACTCGTCTTCCTCTTCTTCCGGTTGATGCTCTCCTATCACTGTACTCTGTAGAAATGATGGCGGCTGTCTCAATGATGGAGTAGCCGTGGGATGAAAAGGTCTAACCATAGGACTAATATCAGTTGGTGGATATTTTTGAAAGTAGGGAAGTCTAGCTAGCGGACTGATCTCGGTAAGGGAAGAGGGCCTACGTCTCACTCGCGTGTAATAAGGTATCGCAGGCGTCGTACGCTGTGGTGGTGTCTTTCTTTTTGTATAGGAGATTGACGTTTTTTGGGAGGTGATGTAAATACTTCATCCTCTGATGGCTCCTCCTTTTTCGTTTCCATAACCGATGATGGCAGCGGTTCGATTTTCTTTACGATCTGAGCTAGCGGTTGAATTAGCGGTTTATACGTTCGTACAAATTCCACTTCTTTAATAAAACGATCCGCTTTGAGACGATTGTACTTTTGCTGTATCGCTTTACGCGCCTGAACTATTCGTCGTTTCAAGGCCATCTCCTTATTATCCATGATCAACGGAACAGGTAAACCGATATCAAATGAACAGATCAACTGGAACAGGGTCTGTTCCCCCCAATAAAGCTGTTAAGCTGTTCAGCGGTTAAAGCTGTTCAGCTGTTAGTTAAAGCCGTTCAGCTGTTAAGCTGTTAGAGGTATTAAAGCTGTTAAAAGCTGGTAAAGCTGTTAAAGCTGTTACAGTTGAACTGAACAATAAACATGTTTTCATGGTATTATATAGTGATCGAAGCCTTTCCTGAAACGACCGTTTTGCACATCCGCATCCTTATTTATCACCATAAACCCATACGGGGTTCGCCAGCTTTCCGAACACATCTCTCGAAACAGCTGCATGGTTATTATGGGTGCGACATGATCTTCATAAATATGTCGCAAATTCAAGTCGTCCTGTTCGAATAGGACAATTCAGTTGGCATTATCTCTAATCAATTGTTTAGGAATTTTAGAATACGTCTGACCCAAGTAGAAACAATCGATGGCGTTATGCCTGCCCATTGAAAAGTACGCTCTAATATTATCCTGTTTTTCACAAGCGATATCGTCAAAGATAAAAACCGAATTAGGTTTGGCAGCACTGGGCTCCATAATGTCCGCGTTCTTGTTGAATGTGAAGAAGCCTATATTCTTCATTGGTTGCAAAATTTCCCCCAAAACCCTATATTTGTCCTGATTCAGCGATTTCGAATAGACGTACACGTGTTTGAATCGGAGACCATTAGGTTCAGTTAGCAGACTGAGCATCGTATTCGTTTTACCACAATTGGACGGTCCACAAATGACGCATCTTACGCTGTTTGGAAGTAATACGCCATGGGTTTTTTTGCGGTCCACATTTGGCGTCGTGTCGAGATTTTGAACGAGCAGCTTTTGCTTCTGCACCACTACCTTCATTTTGGGGTCGCGGTTGAAATAAGACTACGAACATTTTTTATCATTACATTTTATTTATACATTTTAAATAAATACAAATCATAGTTTCTTCACTTCCCCGGTCAGAGGATTGTATTGAATTAGTGCATCGTGCAGGATCAGACAATAGGCAACCGTTCCCGCCTCGAAGGCCTCCATCGACTCCATTTCCAACTTAACATCTACCGTCGAATGCTTCAGAGATTCGTTTTGCTTTGAACAGTCCAGCACGAAGATGGGGCAACTTTTAAAATACAAATAGTCAAAGAGGGCGTCTTGATGCTCATCTTTCGAGTAATAATCGCGCCGAAAGTTTAAATAGTTTTGATATGCAATGATGTACTTGTTGGCATTAAAATCTAAATGCATCGCTTCGTACGGATAACTTTCCGAGTTGAGATGCAGTTTTAAATTTCGAATATTGATGTTATCGAAATTGGCCGCTCTTGCTTCGTGTGAAAACTTTTTACCGCTTCGTTGAAATGCCACAATTATCCATCGTGGTTTCTCTAGTTGAGTTGAAGTTTTGATTGGCCATATATCCGACTGTGCCTGTTTTAAAGCGGGCAATTCGTACAGTTCCCATTGACGAAATGGCATTGTGATTATAGCATCTTTATTGATGCGTTCGTATAGGCTAATTTTGGCGCTATCGCTAACGGTCACGTGAGGAACTTTCCATTGAATTTTTGTTAATGTTATTGTTGCATCGTCGGCGGTACCGATGTAGCAATTGGCATCGCTTCTAGCACGAATTAATACCAATTCTTGTCGCATGTTTACGATAACCTGTCGATAGTCCTCCATGCATCCGAATATGTGTTTTAGCGGAATGCAAACAGCGAAATGCTTCTCCTTGTTGCTCTTATTGAAATCTACTTGAAGGGATTCATCGGTCGGTGACCACCCCAAATGTTTGAGACCTTTGCTTTCAGTAGACGTATACGATACGTATCCCTTCAGTGAGGATGTAATACCAGGATTCCTGCATACATCCACTTTCTGACCTCCCAACTCATAGCGAATTTCTTCGAAAAGGAATGGTGCGAAATTGTTTGTTAGGTTGCATGTTTTTGCGATGGCACCCTCTCCTTCCGGCTGACTCCATTCAATTTTTCCTTCCAAGTACAAAAAACTGTCGTAGGTGGCGCTTATCAGCTCTTGATTTTGAATTAATATTCGTATTTCACTGGAAAGTCCGTAATCTGAAGATCCTCCGTATGGAAGATGGGTATGAATATCGGATTTAACAATCGTTTCGTCAAAGTGTACGCTTTGAAAGACGTTTAACGAGTCTGCTGCCGCCGCCATTTTGCACTTTCAGGCCAATGGATTCCAAGAAATATTTTTCTACTGGCGTTAATGTGCTCGGGCTCTGTCTCGATTGAGAATAACTCGATTTCCGGTCACCTTGTTTATTTATAGCGTTGAGGAAGGATGGCAAAGGACCTTGATT